TGTAGATTAAGGAGGAAGAAATGATACTATCCTTATTTTCAGATGACATAATTCTCTATCCAGAAAATCATCAATAATCTGCAAAAAGTTCCTTAACTAATAAGCAAGGTCACAGGATATAAGATAATATATAAAAATTAATTTCCTATATACAAGATATGAAGAATTGAAATTTGGAATAAAAAGTAATACTTAGAATAGAACGCCCAAAATGAAATACTTAGGCATAAATATGTGTACAATCTGTATGTGGAAAACCCCAAAACTCTGATTTAGGAAATCAAAGATCTAAATGAATGGATAGATAGTCCGTGTTCATAGATTAAAATACTCAATTTTTTTTTTTTGGTAAAGATTTATTTATGTATGCATACAGGAATTGGGGTACAGGCCAGAGGTGTGGGGGGTGAGAGGAGTCACCAGAGACAGAAAGTGGGGAACAGAACAGGCAGATCTACTGAAATACACTGCTGAGGAGAGCAGCGGGCGAGTCAGGAGAGGTCTGCTGTGCCATGTGGGTGGCTCCCTAGCCGGGGAGTGAACTTGTGCTGCAGTGGCTGTGGATAGCTTTGTAGGTTGAGTCTTAACCCCTTGCACCACCAGGGAGGCCCTAAAATACTCAATATTGTTGATGTCAATTATTCCTATTTGATCTATTGATTCAATGAAATCTCCAATCAAAATTTCAATTTTATGGATATTGACAACCTTGTGCTAAAGTTTACATGAAAAAGCAAAATACCCAGAATAGCTAATGTAATATTGAGAGAGAAGAACAAAGTTGGACTGTCACAACCCAACCTCAAGACATTCTATAAAGCTATAGTAATCAAGATAGTGTGGTAATGGAGGGTAAAAAAGACTAATTATCAATGGAACATAATAGACAGCCCAGAAACAGACCCATATAAATATAGTTAACTAATCATTGACAGAGGAGCAAAGACAACTTAATGGAAAAGAATAATCTTTCAATAAATGGTGCTGGAACATCCATTTCTCATTGGACATCCATGTGTAAAATGAAAAACACACAAAAAAACTAAGGATACACCTGAATGTAAACCACAAAACTATAAAGCTTCTAGTAGATAACATAGGAGAATATCCAGATGACCTTTGAATTGGCAATGATTTTTAGCTACAATAGCAAAGGCATAACCCCTGAAAGAAAAAAATATTATGTCAGATGTGACAAATTTGTTTAAATTAACAAAGTGTGCAAAAAGACTTAAGAAAATGAAAAGGTAAGCCACAGGATAACAGAAAAATTTATAAAACACTTATTTGATAAAGACTTGTATCCAAAATATATAGATCATTCTTAAAAACTCAACAATAAAAAAAAACAACCAAGTTAAAAGATGAGCAAAAGATCTGAACATTTACCTCACTAAAGAGGATAAGTTGGTGGCAGAGTGATGACACCAGGCATGCCTCCTTCATGTAGTCACAACTAAATTGTAACAGAACAAAGTTAATAACCCCTGAAAGACAAATAGAGGACTACAGTATATACTAGGAGCAATAGTCCAGTGGGAAGAACAGTAGGTAAGAGAAACTTTAATTGAACTGATTTTATAGTGATACTGTGGCAGTACAACTCATGGATGGGGAGAGATAATATAATCAAAGTTACTATCCTACTGAAAGTGATATATAAATTTAATGTAATTGCTATAAAAATACCAACTATATTATTTAAAGAAATGGAACAAAAATATTGAAGTTTATATGAAACCATAAAAGGCCTTGAATAACAAAAGCAATCCTGAGGAAAAAGGAGAGAAATGGAAGCATCATGTCACCTGACTTTAAACTATGCTGTAAAGAAGCAGCTGTACTAAAAACCATATGGTATAGGCATGAAAATAGACACATGGATCAATGGAATGGAACTGAAGCCTAGAAAATAAATCCATATACATGTCAAGTCTTAATTTATGGTAAAGCAGTCACAACCATAAAATGGGGAAAGGAGAATCTCTTTAATAAATGGTGCTGGGAAAACTGGATGACTCCTTGTAAAAGAATGAAATTGGATAACTCTTAGCTCCATTCACCCAGACAAATTGTAAACATATTAAAGATCTAGATATAAGACGTGACACAATAAAATACATAGAATAAAACATTGGCAATATGTTCCATGAGATCAATGATAAATACATCTCTGGAGATTCAACTCTTATGACAAGGAAAGTAAAAGCAAAAATAAACAATTGGAATTACTTCTTAACTAAATAGTATATATGTAGTGAAATAAAATATAAGTAGATTAAGAAACATCTACATAAATGGAAGAAAATATTTAAATGTTACATAACTGGCAAGACCTATAAAATAACCGAGACATAAAAAATACCCTCGGCATATAAAAAACTTTCAGGATTCAATAATAGAAAAAACAACACAATAAATGGGCAACAGATCTGAACAGATAATTCCCAATAGAGGTTATCCAAGAGCCAATAGATAACTTGGAAAAATGTTTATCACATTGCCAATTGGAGAGATTCAGATTGAAACCACAGTGAGATATCATCTCATACCTGTGAAAATGGCACACATTAAAAAGACCCCTAATTACAAGTTCTGGAAAGGGTGCAGAAAAGGAGGAATCTTATTACACTGTTGGTAGGAATGTAAACTGGTACAGCCATTGTGGAAGACAATCTGGATTTACCTTTAAAAATAAAAAATGGAAATACCGTATCATCCAGCAACCCCTCTCCTGAGAATCTATCCAAGGAATGTGAAACCATCAGTCAAAAAAAAAAATATGTTCTGCAATGTGTAATGCACATTATTTTGAATGGCTGGAACATGGTAAAAGCCTAAGTGCTCACTGACAGTGGATTGGATCAAGAAGATGTGGTATATCCACACTTTAGAATATCATTCAGCCATAGGGAAAGATGAAATGCTGCCATTTACAGTAAAATGAAAGGAGTTTGAAGGAATTATGTGTAGTGAGGCAAGCCAGAATGATATAGACAGCTATTGGACATTTACATAGCAGACAATTTGAAAATTAAAATACTTATAAAAGTGAGTGTACGTTAATAAATGAAGTGGAGTTTCTGAAGCTAAGGGGGGGGGGAGGCCAAGGGGATATTAGGGATGGTGGTGGGAAAAATTAAATTTAAAAAAGTTATAGTGATAAAAAGGAGATATAAAGATACCAAGTAAGCATAGGAGAAGCTACTCAATATCATTTGTCATTAGAGAATTACAAATTGAAACAACGATGAGATATCACTACACACATAGTAAGATGGTTAAAATAAAAAAAATTCTGATATTATCAATTGCTGGCAAGGATTCAGAGAAAGAGCAACAAGAACCCACATTCTTCGCCCCCCATAATGTATAAATTTTATTTAAATCCTGATTCAAACACTGTATAAAAATTATGACAAATGGAAAAAATATGAAACAGTGAATGAATAGTTAATAATTAAGGAATTATTGATATTTCTAAGATGAGACATAGTGGTAAATAAAATATTTTAAAATTTTAATTTCCCCCTCAATTATGTTTATTAAGGTAAATTTGGTCTATGTAATTGTATTTGTTTTAGGGCTTATAAGTTCAAACCTCTATAAATGTATGTTCTCACCACCATTCCCACCACCAGTGCCCCAATAATTCTCTACCATGCTCTATGGCCCCCCGCCTCCCCATTTTGTTGCCCCAATTTTTCAGTCAGATGTCAAGGATTTCTTATTGGTTTGGTTTTGTTTGACCCTTTGTTTTTGTTTGTCTGTATTCCACATATTAAGTGAAACCTTCCAGTATTTGTCTTTATTCTTCTGACTTATTTTGCTTAGCATTATCTTCTCCAGTTCCTTCTATGTTGTCACAAAAGGCAAGAGTTCATCTGTTTATAGCTGAGTAGTATTCTATTTTGTGTGTATGTGTACATACATACACATTTTTTTTTTATTCACTCCTCTGTACTTGGGTACATAGGTTGTTTCCACAGCTTGACTATTGTAAATAATGCTGCAATGAACATAGGAGTGTATATATCCTTTCAAATTAGTATTTTTGCATTCTTCAGATAGACACCTAGGAGTGGAATTTCTGGGTTGATCTATTTTTTTTAATATTTTGAGAAACTTCCATATTGTTTTCTATAGGAGCTGGACCCATCTACATTCACACCAAAGAGAATAAGGCTTCCTTTTCCACATTCTTGCCAACACTTAAGGTTTTTTAAATTTGGCCATTCTCATGGCCATTCTCATGGGTATTGTTTTGATTTGCAGTTCCCTGACGAGTGATGATGAACATTTTTTTCATGTGCCTGTTGGCCATCAATATGTCTTCCTTGGAGAAGTACCTGTTTTGTTCTGCCCATTTTTTTTTTAAAGATTTATTTATTTATACAAGCACTGGGTACAGTCAGAAGCACAGGAGGGTGAGAGAATTCACCAGAGCCAGAGCGGAGAGCAGACAGACTGATGAAGTGCTGAGAGGAGCAGCGTGTGCAGCAGGAGAGGTCTGCACACCATGTGGGACCCTCGCAGGCGGCCAGGGATGGAACCAGCGCTGCAGAAGCTGCGGGCAGCTTCGCAGCCCAGCGCTCAACTGCTGCACCACCAGGGAGGCCCTGTTCTGCCCATTTTTAGATTGGGTTAATTGTTTTCATTTTGTGAGCTTCATGAGTTCTTTATATATTTCAAATATCCTCCCTTTGTCAGATGTATCATATGCATTAATTTTCTCCCATTCAATAGGGGTTTTACTGATAGCTTTTTTTTGATGTACAGAAACTTTCTTGTTTTACTGATAGTTTCTTTTGATGTGCAAAAACTTTAGTTGGATGTTGTTCCATTTGTTTATATTTGCTTTTGCTTCTCTTGCTGTTGGAGATAAATCCCCAGAGACATCTCTGAAGTCAATGACTTTTATTTTTTTTTTTATTTTTTATTTTTCAATTATTTTTTTTATTTTTTTCTTTTATTTTTCAATATATTTTATAGTTTCGGATCTTACATCCATGTCTTTGGCCCATTTTGAAATACTTGACCAGCATTCCTTAAAACTCACAGTCATCAGAAGTGAGGAAATTCTGAGAAACTGTCATAGTCAAGAAGAGCCTACAGAGATATAATGGCTAATTGTAATGTACTCCTCCGAATGGGATCCTAGAATAGTAAAAGGACATTAGGTTAAAAACTAAGGTAATATGAATAAAGTATGACTTCAGTTAATAATAATGTATGTAGAGCGGTTCATTAATTGTGATTATGGTGCCATAGTAATGGAGGATGTTAATAGGAAAACTATTATTAGTGAGTTTGATGGGACCTATACCTCCTTTGCATTTTTTAAATAATCTAAAACTGTTCTAAAAAATGAACTTTATTATCAGTTTAAAATAAATGGATGTCATATATTGTGCCAAGTACTGGGGTAAGACATTACCCTATCCTCAAAGCGCTCAAGTTTGTGAGTCCATGTGCATGTATATATGAAGTCTAGCATTTGAGTCAGGTCATAGAGATATTGGCAGAGGAATTTGGAAACCTGAGATTTTAGATTAATTGTCTGAAGGCAGTTGCATTCCACATCCCATTTAAAAGTTCTCCCTAAAATTTGGATGGGGTTATCTTATTTGTAGATATAAGTTTCTGTTACTAATAAACTCATTTCCTTTCATCTCTCACCACTCTCCTCTTTGCTCATATGCTTTGATACTTAGCCTGTTTCCTTCTTTGTCCATCCATGTGCGTTGTCAGACTTTATTAAAGATTGAAGATATGGAAGGTGTTTCAAGTCTAAAGTACAAAACATTTTAAAGTATAGACTTGCCAGCCAGTTTTTAGAACTTCCTTGGCCATTCCACCACAGGAAACCCTTAGTATGTAGGCTCCAGCTTCCTGCCATGGTGTCTAGTGCCCTCTCTTTCCTCTCTGCATACTTCCAATATTCTGGATCATTTCTTTTGCAGAAATGTTTACCTCTCTTTATTTCTTGCTCTCTGTATAACACAGTTTGGAATCTACTTTATTTACCCCCAAATACACTCATAAGATATGTTTCTTAATGATGGTAATTTCTTCTAAAAAACAAACAAATAAAATAATAAATAAAACCTCAGGTGCCAACTGTTAAAACAGTAATTTGTTTATATTGCTATGACAGGTCAGAGAACAGAATGTTTCTAATAAAAAGGGAGGTTGTTAGGCAGATGTAAGAGGATATCATCTATCTCAATTGCATGACATAAATTGGGGCAGTTGTACCTGGACGCTGGAAACGGGAGTCCTTGTCTTCACTCTCTACAAGGAAGTGCCCATTTCATGCTTCTCTCCTCATAGTTCTTGGACAGCTCATCTGCTTTCATCTGCAACACCCCAGAATGGCAACTTCACACTCCAGTACTGCAGCGCACTCTTCCTTGCAATTTGACTCAGTTTAGTCAAACCTTTGCTCGTGTCTCATGAATCACCTTTGGCCAGGAGGATAGAGTCAACTTTGCTCTGACCCTGGAGAGTGGTGCTCAAAAATGCTAGTTGTTATTGTTATTATTTTACTGTTCCCTTGGTTAGTCTACAGTGATTACAGTTTGCCATTTCATGCATTTTTTTAAAGCTATTTATTTTCTTACATTGTTGTTTATTTTTTAGTTTCATGCAGTCTTCTTCCTTCTTTTCTCCTTTACTCTGAGAAGATTGAGAGGGGCCCCATTTCCTCAAGTGTTTATCTCAGTTGGCAGGAAAGTCAGGAAGTGTACTAATCCTGATTCTTTCTGTCATAAGCTGTAAAAACCCAACTTCAACTGGCTTCAACAAAGGGGTGACTGATAGTTGAGTAACTTGCAAAATCGAGGGAAATACTAAAGGAATCAGAGCACCTTGGTAATAAGATTTGTATATAGCGTCTCAATTTTTTCTGTAATCTTCTTTTTCCTTGTTTGGATTCTCTCTAGAAGACTTACATTCATTCCCAGATTTCCATTCTCCTAGTTCTACCACCCCACAGAAAAAAAAACCCTGTTTTTATTGTAATATCTCTATCATGATAGTGTCAAGGAAGAGCTGTAGGCAGCCCACCTATGGTCATAGGCTCTCTCCTTAGATCATGATTAGTATGGTTTGGGACACTTTCCACCTTGAAGGACAGCGGTTTAGGGGGAAATGACTGACAGCATCAGAATGACAAAGGATGGATGGAAACAGGACAGATAAATTAATATGTGTGGTCTGCCAAAATTATTCTATTTTTTCATGATAGCATAATGGCTGCAACATACTGGGAAATATACTGGGAAATATACTGCAATATACTGGAAATATACTGGGGACAGTGTGTGGTAAGTGGATCTTACAGATAGAACTCTTCTCTCCGTGGGACAACTTAGCCTTTACCCCTTTCCTAGAAGGAGGAGACTGAAACTCACCTGAAAATGATGGATCATGTGATTTGGAAAGCATGAGTTTTAGATCAGCTGATTTGTCAACACTTTTCAGGCTCATCAGAGGCCCTCCCTGAGGTTTGGAGTCTTGGCTGGACCTGGAACCTCAGTAGGGAGTATGGTATTTTCTTTGTACCTCTACTTTTACCCAGTGAAGCCTCTGTGCAGTAGGCTTCTCTGTCTGAATGGGTTTGGACTCTTGCTGCTGAATGTGAATGGTAGTACTCTCACTCTGGGCTTCCACAGACCTCAAAAAAAAAAAAAAAAAAAAAAAAAGGTTTGTAAAGGTCTTTATTTTCTCTTGCCTGAGAGGTTGGAGGCCCCATCTCCTGGGGGTCACTTCTAGTTCTGAATAAAAAAGTGGTTAAAGTGGTAGTATATGAGAATTTTTTTCTTATTAATGGCTGCAGAGGATTATAAAATGGAACCCAGCAGGCATGGAAGGACTTGCACATATTTCAAAAGTACCAGTACATTCAGAGGCCAGAAAAAATCTTTTGAGAGTGCACTGTGAAGCGTGTTGTCAGTAGTTTTTGTCCTCTAAGACCTGGTGAGGATTCTGGAGCAAATGGCTGCCATTTCATTTTTAGTTCCAATCACAGTGTAGTCAAGTGCCCACCTAGTCTCTTTTTAGCTACTCATTCAGAGTAGCTAAAACATTTGTGGGGACTTTCTCCTTGTGTGCAGTATGACTCCTGTCTTCACCTCCCTGCCTTCAGGGCACCTACAGTGAAAACAATAGACACACAATCACATACATGCGACTGAACAGGTACAGAACCCTGAGGGAGGGAAAAACCAATATTTTGTCTTGGAGTTAACAGATATTTTCTTTGACTAGATAAGGATGAAGGGCAGATAGTAGAATGGGGAGTAGAGAGGGGGGTATCTCATAACTCCAAGGAGTCCTAAGAGAAATAGCAGAAAGAGGTATCAGGGATCTGGTTTGCCAAACCTTAGAACATTTTAGTTATTTCATGATATCCCCTGAACAGAAAAAGAAATATCAACATTGACATAAAGGAAAGAATTTTGAAATAGTTGTTTGCAAATTTCTCCTTTTTGTAGTATTCCGTAACCTCCTCCAAACCTAGACTTCGTTCTCCCTTCTTCATAAGTCTCATTTACTCTAGAAATGAGAGAAGAAGTGAAAAGGTGAACCTGCCAATAAAATCCCTACCCCCCGTTAGGAGGTAGCAAGCAGAGATCTCGTCCAATAAACTTACCTTCGTGTAACATATAGAGCCCACTCATAAGAACTGAAAAGTTTCCAGATACAATCAGTCTACAGTTATCAGACAAAAATACAGGACATCCAGTTAGATTTGAATTTCAGATAAACAGATGAACAGTGAGTAATTTGTTTGCATAAATATGTCCTAACATCCTTAATCCAGACTTGCTTGGCACTAAGTGGATAGATTGGTTTCTTCCCCATGTCTAGCTCAAATTATTATTAATGCCATGTGCCGGGCAAAACAAGCCCACTGCCCCTTTCCTATCCTAGCTCCCCATAGTAAAAAAGGAAAACTCAGGGCAAACGAGAGGAAGGATTACAAGGTAACCCCAATAGGAAATGGGGTGATCTGGGTGTTAGTCCTCACCTGTGAGCTTAGGAACTCAAGACAAGAGAAGAGCAGGCACACACAAAAAAAGTTAATATGAGGTTTATTTACAAGGGAAATGAGAAGAGGGAGAACACAGAGAGAAAGATTAATTGGTCAATATGTCCTGCCAGTAAGGCCTTCTGAGCGGGGGCACCAGGTGCATGCTGAAGGCAAAGCCAAGAGAGCACAAGCCTACACGTGTTCAGTTTATACCAACATGGCTGCTTAATTCCATCCTTAGCTCCTAGAAACCCTCCTTTCAGGAAGTTGAGAATCATGGCAGATTCATGACATGATGGGAGTTGTACTCCTTGGTGCTTGAGATCTCTTTGGCATGGAGGTAGGCGTGGAGTTCATAAAATATCAGTGTGTGAAGTTCATTCATGACATATTGTTCCTCCAAAAGAAGGACACTGACTGAGGATATATACTAATAAGTTAACTTTGTAAAGGTAAAATGAGGCTAAAGGTCTCATAGCCTTTTTAACATCCATCCTGAGCAAAAAGCTTCATCAGGGCCACACACCCTGCACTCTTTCACCATCCTCAGGTTTTAAAGAATACCCTATACCTATACCTATACCTATGCAACTGGGGATAGCAGAATGATTGAGTGAACTCATGATGGAGAGGCAGGGCACAAAGCAGTGAATCTTCTCAGTTAGTTGTGAGTAGTTGGCTCTATAGGGGTGCCCTGAAATTCTAGAATTAGACTGTAAGGAACATGGAGTAAAGGAAAGAAGCACTGGAAGAAGGTTTCTAGTTTCTGCACTCTAAATCCTGTAGTCTTCTCTTTCCACATCTCCCTTTGACCCACAAGGAAGAAAACCATTGGCTTTCATTTAAAAAAATTCACACTGAGATTTTAAATAGAGAATTTAGAAATGCCATGATTAAAAATCATAGACTCCGAAAAGGAAAAGAATGATGTGATAAATATAATTAATGAAAATGAGTCTTTAAAAAGGAAATGAAGGAAATGCAGGATATTAAAAGATTAATGGAGGAGCTAAAGAACTCTGGGAAAAGTAACAAATACATAATTGAACAAATGGAAGAATGAATCCGTACTCTTGAAGATACAGAAAAGAAAAAGGAAAAAGAATGAAGAAACACTCTGAGAACTATCTGACACCATGAGGAAAGGAAATATGAGTTATAGGAATCTCAGAAGGTAAGGAGAGAGACAAAGGAACCAAGTAACTATTCAAGGAGATAATTGAAAAGAACTTCCTAAGCATGAAGAAGGAGATGAAAATAGACTTAACAGGAAGCTAGAACACCAAATTGCCACAAAGAAAGGAGAACTACAGCAAGACACTTAATAGTAAAGCTTCTAAGAGTCCAAGGCAAGGAAAAAATAATGAAGCCTGCCAGGGGGAAGAAACAGTTTCCTATAAAGGAAAACCAATCAGGCTGACATCAGACTTCTCTGAAGAAACACTAAAGGCAAGAAGAGAATGGAGGGCCTCCCCGGTGGAGCAGCAGGTTGAGTGCAGCACTGTGAAGCTGTCTGCAGCCTCTGCAGTGCCGGTTCGATCCTGGCCAGCTGGCGAGAATCCCACATGGTGTGCAGACCTCTCCTGTCATGCCACTATTCCCTCAGCGGTGTATTTCTGTCCATCTGCCTGTTCTGCTCCCTACTCTGTCTCTGGTGAGTCCTCTCACACTCCCATGCCTCTGGCCTGTACCCCAGCTTTTGTGTAGAAATGGATGAATCTTTAAAAAAAAAAAAAAGAAGAGAATGGAGTGACATTTTCAACAAACTCCAATTCAACAAATGCCTGACAAGTATACCTTACCCCACAAAGCTCTCCTTCCTCTATGAAGGAAAAGTAAGGACCTTCTCAGACAAACAGAATCTCCAGAAATTCATCACTACTAAACCCCCACTCCAAAATTTACTATAAGAATTCCTAAAGCCAAAACCAACAGAGGAATGAATAGGAAGAACAGAATAAGGTAAGGAATAAAATGACAAAAAGACAAACAAAATGGCAAATACAGACTCCAAAGTATCAATATTAACCCTAAATGAAATGGACTAAACTCATCAATAAAAAGACACAGAGTAGCAGGCTGGATTAAAAACAAAATCCAGGAAAATACAGCTCTCTCCAGGAAACACATTTAACTACAAAAGATAAGCATATACTGAAAGTAAAAGATTGGAAAACAATCCTATAAACAAATGGACCAAAAAAGAAGGCAGGAACAACTATATTTATATCAGATGAAATAGACTTCAAACTGAAAAAGGTAAAAAGAGACATAGATGGAAACCACATTATGATTAAGGGGACAATACATCAGGAAGATATAACACTCATCAACATATGCTCACCAAATGAAGGAGCGACAAAATATATCAGACAATTATTATCAGCTCTGAAAACAGACATTAGAGAGAATACATATATAGTGGAGACTTCAACACCCCACTCTCACCAATGGACAAATCAACAAGACAAAAAATAAACAAGGACACTAGACCCTAAATATAGACCTAGACTTCATGGGCTTAACAGACATTTATAGAACACCCAAAAAAAACCCCCGAGTACACATTTTTCTTAAGTGAGCGTGGATCATTCTCCAGGATTGGTCACATGTTGGGCCACAAGACAAACATTAGCAGATACATTAAGATCAAAATCATACCAACTCTCTTATCTGATCATAAAGGCATCAAACCGGAAATAAAACATGAAAAGAAAGCAAGAAATCCTCCCACTTCATGGATATTGAAACCCACACTACCGGAAGATCATTGGATTAAAGAGGAGATCGAAGAAGAAATTAAAAATACTTTGAGATGAATGACAAGGAGGATACAACTTTCCAGAATGTATGGGACATAACAAAAGCAGTAATAAGAGGAAAGTATATAGCAATACAGGCTCACATTAAGAAACAAGAAGGAACTCAAAAAAAACCTAATCTCCCATCTCAAACAATAGCCAAAAAAACCCAAAAACCAGTAGAAGAAAGGAAATAATAAAAATCAAAGCAGAAATAAATGAAATAGAAATAAAAAATTCAGTTGTGAGGCAGCCCGCAGCCTCTGCAGTGCCGGTTCGCTCCTGGCCGCTGGGCGAGGGTCCCACATAGAGTGCAAACCTCTCCTGCTGCCTGCTGCTCCCCTCAGCAGTTCTGTTCCCCACTCTGGCTCTGGTGAATCCTGTCACCCTCCCACACTTCTGACTGTACCCAGTGCTTATATAACTAAATAAATAAATCTTAAAAAAAAGAAATAAAAAAATCCAAAAGAGCAACAAAATCAAAAGTTTGTTCTTTGAAAAAATAAACAAAATAGACAAACCTCTAGTCAGGCTCACAAAGGGAAAAAAAAAAAAAACAGGAAAAAGCACAAATAAATAGGGTCATAAACAAAAGAGGAGAAATTACAAACAGGCTCAGTAGAAATTGAATAATCAGAGACTACTGTGAATATTTATATGCAAACATTCAACAATGTAGAAGAAATGGACAAATTCCTACAGCAATATGATCATCCAAAACCAGATAAAAAAGCAATAGAACATATAACAGACCAATTACAAGCAGTGAAATTGAAATAATAATCAAAACTCTCCCCCAAAATAAAAGCCCAGGACCAGATGGTTTCACAAATGAATTCT